TAGCAACTCCTTATATGAGCTGCATTTTTCAGCTTTAAATAGGCAGAAGTGAACGAAACTATGTAAATGTTAAAATATTATTTGAAGCCCTTGAAATCTCCATGGTTCATCATAGTAATTATAATAAAATGCAGCACAGAAGACCCCCTTGCTTCAGCAGCTCACAGGGTAAAGGGAAAAATGAATAAAGATCGGAAGTTAATGAGACTGGGAATTAGTATGCTGGTGTGTCCTATTCAGTAGAGCAGCTGGCCTCTCAGTATAGGGGGAGTAAGACACAACTATCTCTCTCTGTGTCCTCTTACCTCTTTGTCTCCTGGAAGAGCAGACTGTGAGGGGGGGCAGAGGGCAGCATGGGGTATGGGGTGGTATAAGAAGCTGCCTAAGTCCACAGCAAAAGCATAGTGATTCCTATAGAAGGAAGGCTTCAGGCCCTAGGGTCCTCTTCTCCACTAGTCCCTGGGCATGAAGTTCTGCCTGTTTGAGTATATTTCTATTTCTCTTTAAGCCTGGCAAGATCTTACTTCTTGTTCAATATCCAGCTTAAAAGCTATCCCTCTGTGGCTTGGCGCCTGTGGCTCAAGTGGCTAAGGCGCCAGCCACATACACCTAAGGTAGTGGGTTCGAATCCAGCCCGGGCCCGCCAAAACAACAATGACAGCTGCAACCAAAAAATAGCCAGGCATGTGGCGGGCACCTATGGTCCCAGCTACTTGGGAGGCTGAGACAGGAGACTCACTTGAGCCCAGGAGTTGGAGGTTGCTGCGAGCTGTGATGCGATGGCCCTCTACCCAGGGGGACAGCTTGAGGCTCTGTCTCAAAAAAAAGCTATCCCTCTGATACTAATGCTTTCCTTTCTGCCCACTGTCCTTTATACCATTCTTAAAGTATCTATTAAATTTTGCCTTTAATTATTTCTATATATGCCAGTATCTTCCAACATCTGGTAAGCAGTCTTCATCTTTGTATCACCTGAGTGCCTCCTGAAAGACATGCCACTGGTTCCTGGACATTGAACACATGTACACATTCCTGTACATGCTTATTGATGGAATGAGTGGTTATGGTGACAGTTCTGGGGCCTGAGTTTCCCACTTCAGTTCCTTCTTTCTGCTGTTGAGAAGTATAAGAATGTGGAGGGTAATAGAAGCTTGTAAAGTGCTTTGTACATACATTACAGAGAATTTCCATGTACGTTGTCTTTGATCCTTGTGACAGACCTGTGAGTAATGAGAAGGTAGTTGATCTTATCTGTGAGCAAAGTGTGCTGTAATAGATCCTGTGTAGAGAATAGTAACAATTATTAACATCTATTGAGAGCTTTCAATATGCCAGGCATGGTTCTTAATGCCTTATATATACCACTTAATTCTCAGGATAATCTTATGAAATAAGTACTAAGATCCCAAAATTAACGATATTAAGGTAGCTTGGTGCCTGTGGCTCAAGCGGCTAGGGTGCCAGCCATATACCTAAGCTGGCGAGTTCGAATCCAGCCCAGGCCCACCAAACAACAATGATGGCTGAAACTAAAAAATGGCCAGGTGTTGTGCCGGTGCCTGTAGTCCCAGCTACTTGGGAGGCAGAGGCAGGAGAATTGCTTGAGCCCAGGAGTTGGAGGTTCCTGTGAGTTGTGATGCCACAGCATTCTACCCAGGGTGACAGCTTGAGGCTGTCTCCAAATAAATAAATAAATAAATAAATAAATAAATAAACAAACTAAGGTATAAAGAAACTAAGTAATTTGCTCAAGATTTGACACTTGATCAGTGTATATTGTTATCACTTTGTCCCTAAGAGACTTTGTATTATCCTGACTTTACCAAAGGAGGAAACCATTAAGTAATTTTTTTCCCACCTTAGAAATCTGTCTTACCTTTGAATATAGTTTTCTAATGGGAAAGAGAATACCAACTTATTAAGATCCAGAGGTTCTTAGATCTTGATAGGCTTTTCATAGACCAAGGTGCCTTTCCTAGGAATTGCCCGGGTAAGTCATGTAATTGTAAGAATCCATTATATTCCACGAAATATTGGTTGGTTATGGTTCCTGTGACGGGATTATGACCCTCAGAGATTTTTCCTCTCCACATATTCTTTTCTTCTATAAGTTTCCATTTCTTCTTTCTGCCTACTTCCTTCCCCTGGGTATCTGTCAGTACTGAGCTCTTGGCATCTGTTTGTCTTTCTTCATTGATAGCATGAATGGGTGGCTGTGTGACAGGGCCTGCATTGTCAACCCCCACAGCAGCAGTCAGAACATTCTCTGTGGTTTGGGTTTTGAAGTCCACCCAGGCCATGATGTTTTTCTTTTGTTCTTGGTTCCCCCTCCCAAAAAGAAAATTGTTAAATACTAAGCTGGAAGCTGACACAGAGCAGTAGAAGCCTATGCTCCTATTGCCGAAGTTCTCTTGATTCAAATGGAATCAGAGGGACATTGCACCTTGGGCAAGGATTTATAGGAAGTTGGCTTTTAGAGGTGGCAAATTTTGTAGCCTGGTTAGCTCTCCCCATCAGCTTCTAGGAAATACTATTGGCCTGAACCACCATTAGATGGTCAGGTAACATTTTTGTGGTCCCACTAAGCAACACTGCTGCTTTGTTCCGTCTCCCAATCATGTGTGATATTTGTAGCTGTGACTCATGGTTTCCTGGAGCCTCAGTTAGGCTATATGTGCACTCTTGTGTACTCAGCATTTCTTCTTACATAGATAAATCATTTGAATCATTTTGGACTTATTTGTTGCTCAGATCCTGGCCTTTGGGGTACTTGGTTTCTGAGTTTGGGGTGTAAAAGTCATGAAGTGGTCAAATATAGAAGAAGGAGATCCCAAAATTCATGGTTCTAGGCTCCTGTGGATAAGTAATCAGAGTCATAAAGCAGAGCTAGCTGGCTGCCCCTCAGAAATCTCTGCAGACTTGCCAAAAACCAAACAGACTGTGGAGACTAAACTATACTTCTGGAGAGGGTGGGATGGATAGAACTGTGTCCCTGCTCAGAACTCAGGGAAACAGACTGTGAGAGTAGGTTTGGAGGAGCCCTTCTTAAAAGACTATCTTGGGAGAACCAGTGTGGTGGGGACATTAGCCTCATTCCTAGGCAGTAGGGACTGTGCTTTAGTACATCCTGTTTATTAACTGCTGCTTGTTTTGCACCCCTCCTCACCTGACTGCCATTTTCAGTTATGGAACTGAGCTTCAAACAGGGACCTTGGGACTGCAGGCATGGAGGAGAATCGCCCAAGGAGGGATCTAGCATCCCTTCTGGGGAGTTTGCCATCGCAGAATGGTAGAGACTAGGATTCTTATTAGCACTGTCATCACATTAAAGGGATTTTCAAGTATTACACAGCCCAACATACTTATTTTATTCACTGAGGCCCCAGAAGATGAATTCACTACCAAGGCCACACAGCTACTAAGCAGCACAGCCAGGACTAGATCTCCAGACTCCTAGGTTAAAGTCTTCTCTTCCACCAGCTTGGGCAAACTACTCAAGGCCCAGAGGCCTTAGATTTCTCATTTGTAAGAATAATCGAACTCAATGCTATTGATTCTAAGATCCTTTGGTCTTATGAAGAGTTCTTGGGAACTTTGAGCAGATAAGAAATCTTGGGTATAGGTACCCATAGGCTTCACTCACAGAGAAGATAAAGTTGCATCTTAACTTTGGCATGTGAGCTAGTGTTGAACATAGCGTTGTTATCTCACCCTGATTATATGGGTTAAAATCTTCAATGGGACTGAGTTCATGCAAAGAAAGCCCCTATGGTGCTGGTGTTAACTCTGATTTGGCCAATTATTTATGCCACTTTAGGGCAGAGGTCTTTGACTGTACAGTAGCAGTTGGCCTCAGGAGCTAGCAGTGTCAGATTTCTGGGATGTTAGGGAAGTCTCCAGAGAACTGCAAATGTCTCCTGGCATTGACAAATTAGACCATTTTGTTTTCAGTGGATCAACTAAGGTTAAATTTAAACAAATACGAGCAGCTGGAGGCTTTGGAAAGAGTGAGATAGGCACATTTTTAAAAAAGAAAGTAAGTCTGTGTTCCCCAAGGAAGGAAGGATGAGGCGTGGAACTCTGAATGGCCCCCTCTGAGGAAGGAAGCAGTTATTCTCTGCTATTTTGTTTTGCACTTTCAGTTAAGGAATTCCAGAAGTTGCAGATTGTAGATCATGACCTCCAGTATTTTTTTCTCAGTTGCTGCTTACCAAAAGAAAGGAGGGCGGGTGGCTCTAAATAACACTTTGGCCTTTATGGAAATGTATCAGATGTTCCAGGAGTAAGTCTCACTAGTTCGCGCTTGCTCCCTCTCACTCTCTGTCTCTCACTTTGGCTCCGTGTTCACTTATCCTGTCCTCACTGTGTCTTTTCTGTAGGATATAGTTAGCACTCTTCTCGCCTTATATAGCCAGGTCTGGATGTTAATGTTAACAGAAATCTAACAATAGGGAAGACTGCCAGATAGCATTAATCAGGCCAGTGTTTGGAATTTCATAAATGCTCTGACTTTGGGTACAAATTGAATATTAAGAAGAATACGAAAACTGTTCTTTTCTTCTTCTTTTTTTTTTTTTTTAAGATATACAGTCTCGCCGTTGGTAGAGTGCTATGGCATCACAGCTCACAGCAACTTCCAGCTCTTGGGCTTAGGGAATTCTCTTGCCCTCAGCCTCCTGAGTACCTGGGACTACAGGCACCTGCCACAACACCTGGCTATTTTTGTTGTTCTTGTTGTTGCAGTTTGGCCGGGACTGGGTTCGAACCTCCCACCCTTGGTATATGGGGTTGGTGCCCTACTCACTGAGCCACAAGGCGCTGCCTGAAAACTGTTTTCTACTTTCCTCTTTCTCCTTCTCTCCTCTCCTGCCTCTGCAGCCTATCCAGCTTCTCTTTCTGTTTTTAATTCTTATGCAGTGCTCTATGCTCACTGCATTGGAACTTTGTTGATTTTTGCCACGTTTAATTTTTTATTTCTCTGTCTCTCCGTCCACTCCAAGACCACAGGCAGAGCAGCAGCAGCCGGAGCCAGGACTCTACAGAGGGCCAGGACGGGCAGGTCCCAGAGCAGTTCTCAGGTCTCCTCCACGGCTCCTCCCCAGTGTGCGAGGTGGGGCAGGACCCTTTCCAGCTGCTCTCTGCCACAGACCAGAGCCATCCAGACGGATCCCCCCAGCAGGGCACCTGCTACAAGGCCAGCATGCAGCTGGAGGAGACGGGTGTGCATATTCCTGGAGCCTACCAGCCCAGTGTCCTGGACCAGAGCAAGAGAGTGGACTACCCAGCGAGCCTACCCCCCACCAATAGCCGATCACACCCTGAAACTTTGACTCACATAGCATCTCCACACCCTGGTGCTGCTGAAGAAGGAGACCGGAGCGGGGCCAGGAGCCGAGCCCCTCCCACCAGCAAACCCAAAGCTGAACTCAAACTCAGCCGCAGTTTGTCCAAGTCTGACTCTGATCTCCTGACCTGCTCACCCACAGAGGACACTACCATGGGGAGTCGGAGCGAATCCTTGTCCAATTGCAGCATTGGGAAGAAGAGGCTGGAGAAGTCGCCCTCCTTTGCCTCCGAGTGGGATGAGGTAAGGCCAATGTGACGTCACAGAGAGCTGGGCTGGCCAGCCTGGCCACAGCCCACCATAGCTCCCCTGTGTGCCAACTCCTGGGACTAGGATCTGGGTTACAGTTGCCTGGTTTCTTGCCACTGTTGACTAGCATGTTTCTGACAACCTTGAAGGAAGGCAAGCCTTCCTAAGTAGTCACAGAAAACAGGTTCATTAATGGTTAAACTAGAGGGTGGAGGCCCCAGCAGAGTGGATCTGAGGGAGGAGCAGTTCCTGGAAATGACAGCTGTTTGGAAATGTTTGGAACACATCAGCCCTGTAGAGGGAATCATGCTCACCCTACAGACGCTTAAGAAGAGCTGGAGTTACTTCCTGTGAGTCCTTTGCAAGGAAGAGAGAAGGTCCAGGGTTAACTGGGAGTTGGAGGTTGGGGAGAGTTAGTGAAGGATACAATTTGGGGAGATGCTGAAATGGGATCAGAAGGGAGCTTTTCTTTTCTCTGCTTCTCCATTTCTCCATGGGTATTCTTACTGGTGTTCCCCCAGAGGGCAAATGCTTTTTCCAACAGAAGTGTCCTGCCCAGCCCACATTCCTGGGTTGGTCAGGCAGAGGGCTAGGTGCTTGAGGAAACAAAGATTAGCCAGTAGAAAACATTTGGAGTTAGAGGTCCGGGTTCCTTCTAAGCATTGCTACAGAATAGTTACAATAGTTGTAAAATAGTTGTACCCAAATATTTTTAGTGACCTATTACATATCTTACTGGGTGGAAGAATGTTTCTCAACGATGGATAACCATCCCAGGAATGTTAAAATGCCACCCTTTACAAGCTTCTTGCTTGGGAGGAAGCTGCCTTTGAAGTGGTCTGGGTCTGCCTCCCAAGGGCAGTTTCAAGAGATGCATTTAGCCCTCCAAGAGGAGGGGAACAGTACAGTTGACATATGCATTTGAACAATCTGTAGACTTATTGCCCTTCCCAACTCTATTTGGGTGGCTGCTGCAAAATTTTATAAACCATAAACCAAAGCCAATTCCTTTTCCAGTGTGGGGGAATAGGGTGGGGCAATTCTTCTAGTACTAATCTCCAGATAAAATGAGGCTTAGGACTCTGATTAGTCAGAGCCGGAGGAATCCTGTGCAAAAGAAAGTTTTCGTTGCTTGGTAAATAAAGATTTGGTGAGCTGTGGACACTAGTAGAAAGATTTGGTGAGATGTGGACACTGGTAGAAAGTCACTATGAGTGAGGTAGCTAAAGGGTGAGAGGAATGTCTAGGAGATACACACAACGGCATGTGTGTGTATCACAGGAATGTGTCTTTGTTTTTTAAAACTGAACTAATTTACAGTCAACTCTTAGGATTAGACTGTTTAAGCCGTAGGATAAAGATAAGTCCAGTATGCGCTGAAATGACAGCAGAAGTCAAGAAAGAAAACCATCAGTAAGGGGAAGTGGAAACAGGAGGCGTGAGAGGGCAGGAAAGGACTTCAGGAAGAATCACAGAGCAGTGGAATTTGACATTAAATTAAAGGACCAAGTCTTATGTTTAAAACCGGATTAAAGCTGGTGGGATAAGAAAGGTGGGTGAGAGAACAACATGATAAGAGGTATGGAGTTGGGAAAACTTAGATCATGTGGTTTCTGTACAGTGTTGAGTGTGCATGAGGAGAATAAGAAATAAAGGGTAGGAAGTGAGATTTGGACCAGATAGTAAGACGGCCTGAACCATGAGGCCAAGAAATGAGTCCAGTCAACTCTCCTTATCCATGGATTTCTGTATCCATGTATTCACCTAACTGCAGATCGAAAATATTTGGAAATAAGGGCTGGATGTGGTGGCTCACACCAGCAGTCCTAGCACTCTGGGAGGCTGAGGTTGGAGGATCCCTTGAACTCAGGAGTTTGAGACCAGCTTGAGCAAGAGTGAGACACCCCCCCCCCACTAAAAATAGAAAAATTAACTGGGCATTGTGGCAGGCGCCTGTAATCCCAGCTACTGGGGAGACTGAAGCAAGAGAATCAATTAAACCCAAGAGTTTGAGGTTGCCGTTAGCTAGGCTAATGCCAAAGCACTCCAGCCTGGGGCAACACAGTATGACTGCCTCAAAAAAAAAAAAAAAAAATTAAATAAAAAAGGAAGGAAAGAAAGAGAGAGAGAAAGAAATAAGATATTTGGAAACACAAAACAATTTTAAAAAATACAAAAAGCATAGTATAACAGCTATTTACATAGCAGAGGATGTGCATAGGTTATATACAAATACTATGCCATTTTATGTCAGGGACTTGAGTGTACATAGATTTGGTATTCACAGGGGTCCTGGGACCATTCCCCCTCCCACAGATACCAAGGGATGTCTGCTTGATTTGATATCAAGGCAGCATCTCAGAATCCTTCAAATGGGCTGGAAGGCAGCTTTACCACTGTGATTGATTACCTCTTTATAGCTCCCTCTCTTGAGCATATCCCCATCCTGAGAGGTCGGTAGAGCTGGGCAATTCTTCAGAGGATATTTATGTCCTGTTAATATGCAGCATTGCCAGGCAGTCATATGGGTTCTACCATTTCCTCCTGGAGAAGAAACACAAAATTGCCCAGGCAAAGCCAGGCTTCATAGAAGTTGGCTGTGTGGGCTCATAAGCCAGTTGTCTATTAGCATCTTAATGAGAGGAGGCTTATTTGCTGATACCACCTTTGAAGGTAGAGATTACAGGCTCATGCAGTGAATGTGAGGACTATTTCAAGGTGTTGCAAACCAGTGCTATAGTGTGGCTGATGTGCCAGAAGCACTACAGAATTTTTTTTTCAAGATTAGATCAAAACATTTATTTTTGTTACAAAAATAAATAAGGAAATAAACATATATTTTTAAGTTTCATCCTTGGTTCACTGTGGAATTTTAAATTTGAAAAAACTTCAAGGCAATTGAGGTCTTATTGGAAAGAATTCAGAATATCAAGCTTTGCTTACATAGTAAACATTAACAGGGTCCTTTATATGTAACTTTTCAGCATTGTTTTTGTGTCATACTTGGTTTTTGTGGCTCCCTCTATTTAAAGAAAAACTTCAGGCTCGGCGCCTATAGCTCAACCGGCTAAGGTGCCAGCCACGTACACCTAAGGTGGCGGGTTCGAATCCCCAGCCCGGACCCGCCAAAACAACAATGATGGCTGCAACCAAAAAATAGCCGGGCGCTGTGGCGGGCGCCTGTGGTCCCAGCTACTTGGGAGGTGGAGGCAGGAGACTCGCTTGAGCCCAGGTGTTGGAGGTTGCTGTGAGCTGTAATGCCAGGGCACTCTGCTCAGGGGGACAGCTTGAGGCTCTGTCTCAAAAAAAAGAAAAACTTCAGAAATATTTCACCTGGTGACTGGCCCCAAACCTAGAGATTTGGCAAGATTTTCTCTAATGGGGCATTAGTTAATGACTGCTGTCCACCGTGCCCCTGTCCTATGCCTGAAGGCTGCTTTGCTATATCCTGTGCTTGCTGATTTTTTTTTTCTTTGTTGTCATGAGACCTCTAGCAGGTAGGAAAAGCTGCTCTGAAGGAGGTTGGACGCTGTGTAGCTCCTCAGTGTTGAGGCCTGAAGAGTGAGAGAGTATCTGGGGCATGGAGAGCCTGGGCACTCTATCAGTTTGCTATGATTTGCATGTGAGTCTGCCAGGCTACTCCTAGAAGGCAATCAGGGCAGTAGACTGACTCAGGGTCAGGAGTGAGCAGATCCAGTTTTGAACCCCATCTCTACAATCTACTCCTCTTTGGTGCCCAGATGGCCTGAAAGTCCCAGTTAGTCTTATTTGTGAAACAGAGGTAGTCAGGTCTGTATTTCAGAGTGCTTCATCAACTAGAGATGTGTTTAAGTGCCTAGCACAGTTCTTGGCATGCATAAGATGTTGACTAAATAGTAAATATTAGTGTTATTATGCCTGGAACTTGGAAAAAGAATAGGAGCTGAGGTCTGGAATGTCTTCAGACCTTAAGAAAGGCAGAGTTCTTTGCAGGTGATCCACTGGTATTTGGTAGTGGCAAAGTAACCGGCAAACAGTGAAGTTCAAGCCCTTTGCCTAGTGTACCTCCTGTACAGCTCTGCTCCTCCAGAAAGGGAAGTGCCTTCCCAATCTGGGAAAGTAGGACAGGCATCCCCCATTGCTCTTCTTTGAGAAATTAATGAGCTTTTCTGCTTACCTCTCTGAGAGGAGAAGAGAGGTTAGAGAGAAATCTGTAGCCCTTTCTATAATTTATTTTTTCAAACATATTTTTCTGCACAATGGCCAGCAGTGGTTGTTTGATTGGTTGGTTGTTTGGGATGATGTTCTATAGTTGGAGAATGTGCATTGCTAATAGGTTTGGGAGTCTTTTTCTCCAAATATAGTCTTCTGCTTACAGTGTATTAATGCAGCCCTTGTTGAATTTTCCTGAACAAGATGACTTCTGAAAGTTAGCCTAGTTAAGGTAAACTCTGAGATTTTATCCATTAGTGACACTAGCATTGTCCCAATTTTCTGTTACAGTTTTTGTAACAAAGAAGTGATAGAGTTTGCCTTTAAAAGAGCTCAGCTTAAGAGATCTGCATCCAAACTTTGGTAGGTATTTTGTTTTCCAGTCAAGTCAAAGCACTCTTTGTTGTCTTAATGATGCGTAGGGTATAACAGAAGTTAACTGGGAAATCGTACATAAATAAAGTCTTTTTTTTTTTTGGCCAGGGCCAGGTTTGAACCTGCCACCTCTGGCATATGGGACAGGCTCCCTACTCCCTGAGCCACAGGAGCCACCCCAATAAAGTCTTAAAAATATATTGTAAGTAGTGGGGAAATCACTGCATCCCTCTATGCATAGTTAACCTCTATTAACCCCTGATACATGTCTAAATTGGGGGTCTTAGTATATTTGCTGATTTATAATTTGCTTTTCTTACCTAATTACTGCATGTTGTGGATATTTTACCATGGCAACATCCTATCTTCATTCTAAAAGGCTTAGTATTATATTGTGCAGCTACATCGTAAGGTTGGTTGGTTGGTTG